AGATTTTAATGTAAGAAATACTTTGTATAAAAAAAAATATTACCAGAAATAAACATTTGAAGAAAAAAACTGTTACCAGCAATAAATTTTGGGAAAAAAATACCAGTAATAGATGTGATTTTCTCAAAAATATGAGTAATTGAAAAATGGTTCAAATATATATGTATACATACACACCATTTATACCAAACTATCACTATGAATCTATTTAAAAAAATTTGTTGGCATTAAATGAACCACTGAGGTTGATATGCCATAAAACAGGTATGCAGTAAATTGCTCGAAATCAATGGCTCAAAAAATAATTTCTCGAACTATAAATTGCTCGAAAGGCAGATTGCTCGAAACCTGTTGTTAAAAAAAAATAAAACTACATTGTTTCTAATATTTACTATAAGATAAAATAATGCAACTTTATTGTTATTAACTGAACAGTTAAAATTAAAGAACGATTACATTTATATAGCAGGTCTTTGTTTTTACTCGAAAGGCAGTTTGCTTGAAACCTGTGGTTAAAAAAATAAAACACGTGCTAAGAATTTGCTTTTTTTTACATATTTCACATTCCCAGTTAATCTTATTATTCACTGTTTTCTCTTTAATATAGAGATATCCATCCAAACACAACTTCTTTGCTTTTTCGCCCTCAACAAAAGCTATGTCCATCACGAAAGACACATGGTACAGTGAATAAGGGCGTTGGTTAGATCCAGTGACAGGACCCAAAGAGTGTGAGTTCAATACCCGGTTAAGGCAGTGGAGAACTTGGAGAGGGGAATTAACAGAAGATAACTAATAAGTGACATCCATTAAAACATGACACGTGGAACTAGAACAGTCTACCCCAGTGAGCGAAATAAAGGGTTCCAACCACCTGAAGAAGGCCGGACAGTACAAAGGCCGAAACGTTGTAATAAATATGGCGACAACGATCAGGACGATAGTCCGTATAATATAAATAGTGTACATAATACCTCATCTCAGAAATATAGACAGATACTGGAAGGCCGAAACGTTGTGATACATATGGCGACAAATATGAGGACAATAGTCCGAATAATATAAATATCAAAGAAATAATTTCATCTCAGAAATATAGACAGATACTGAAAGGCCGAAATGTTGTGATAAATATGGCGACAGAGATGAGGACAATAGTCCGAATAATGTAAATAGTGTACATAATACCTCATCTCAAAAATATAGACACATATATCTCGTAACGCATAACTCGTGACTCACAACTCGTAAAGCACAACAATCATCTATATATGTCGGATGTAAATCGAAAAGTGTAAAAATTTAAAAACAAAACATATATAAATATATATATATATATATATATATATATATATATATCAAGAAAAATTATCCTTTGATGACGAATGTAATATATTAAATAATAAATAATTGTCGGACTTAAACCATTTCATAATATGTTGTCATTGTTTACGTTAAGTTACGTCTCATGTGCAGATATAATCGTTCGGAAAGGATCGTCGAAGATTTGTTGTTTAAGAACAAAATTTACACATACGTTTGCTTAAGCCTGCTAGGTATGTCATTCGTTTCTTCTACCCTAACGAGCGAAATAAAGGGTTCAGTTCGACATTCCAACCACCTGAAGAAGGCCGAAGCGTACAACGGCTGAAACGTTGTAATAAATATGGCGACAAAGATAAGGAAAATCGTTCTCTTGCCTCTATGAGATGGTAAGCCCAAGTAGAGAGTTCCAGTTTCGTTCTCCTGTTCGGCTCTATTGTGACCTTCGACTGATCAGAAATCACGATGAGAAGACATTCCACAGAATAGACAGATACCGAAATATAAAATTCTCCTTGGTGAAATATGTTGTGATGAATATGGCAACAAAGATGAGGAAAATAGTGCGTATAATGTAAAAAAAAAAAAGAAGTTAACTATCTGTACGTAGAATCAAATCTTCAAGCTGGCAGTGTCTCCCCAGACATGAAAGCAAACGGTAAAATTAATCCTTTATTTCGCTCGCTGGGGTAGAATGTTCTAGTTCCTCAAGGACACATGACACAGTGAATAAAGGCGTTGGAATCAGTGACTGGACCCAAAGATTGTGAGTTCAATACCCGGTTAAGGCAGTGAAGAACTTGGAGAGGGGAATTAACAGGAGATAACTGATAACTGACATCCATTAAAAGATGGCACGTGGAACTAGAACAGTCTATCCCAGTGAGCGAAATAAAGGGTTCAGTTCAACATTCCAGCCACCTGAAGAAGGCGGGAGCGTACAACAGCCGAAACGTTGTAATAAATATGGCGAAAAATATGAGGACAATAGTCTGAATAATGTAAATAGTGTACATAATACCTCATCCCAGAAATATAGACAGATACTGAAAGGCCGAAACGTTGTAATAAATATGACGACAAAGATAAGGACAATAGTCCATATAATGTAAATAATGTACATAATATCTCATCCCAGAAATATAGACAGATAGCGAAATCTAAAATTCTCCTTGGTGAAATATGTTAGAGCAAAGACTATTACAAGTTAAGGATGGAATGCTAGTGTCGTAGAATGTGTTCTCATCGTGATTTCTGCTGTCACAATAGAGACTAACAAGAGAAAGAAACTGGAACTCTCTAGCTGGGGTTACCATCTCATGGAGGCAAGAGAAGGTATAGAGAACGATTGGAATTTTACCATTTATCGAGTCTCGAACACTGACTATAGCCTACATATTAACCTGGCTCAGTACAAAAACAGGACCTATTTCACGAAGATGCGTCTGTACAGAGGTTAATGTCCGTCACGTCCAGAGATCACTCTAGGCCAGCGTTTCTCAACCGGGTTCCCCCAAAACCCTAAGGTTCCACAAAAGTTCCCCAAGGGTTCCGTGAGAACAGGTGAGAAAAGTTAATGCAATTTAGTTCATATACGTAATATTACTAAAGACGTACAATATATTCTTAGTTATTATAATATTGTAATAAAGATATCATCTTACCTAACCCATTATGTTATTAAAAAGATATAATCATTGAGAATATATTTAGTTCTGTTTACATTTATATGATAAGTATATGATATTGATTACTCATGTTTATTTCTTACGTTTGAGTTTAGAATTATTTTGTGTGTGAATGAATTATAAATGAACAGTATGAATTTTATTTAGCATTACCGAACTGTCCTGGGTATGACGATAAACTACATCCGCGTCCTGGGTATGGCGATAAACTATGACCAACAGCAAGTCCTCTGATCTGGAGGTTTTGAAGATCGTGGGACCACCTATTAATTGCTGGCGTTCCCAGGTTCAGCCTGACTCGGGGTGGTAGCACCTGTTAAAGTCCCAACTATGGGTAAATGGTTAGCCCCCAAACTGGGGTTAAAACACTATGTAATTGTATAAATAGGTTTTAATACCAGAAATACTTTGTAAAATATATATATATATTACCAGCAATACATTTTTAAAAAGGATACTACCAACTATACATTTTTGAAGAAAAAATATTACCAGAAATATATATATATATATATATATTTTTTGGCAATCAATAACCCATTGAGGTTGATATGTCGTAAAACAAAACAAAACAATTAGCATTACGGAAAATTTTGACAAAGTATTCATTTTTCTTTAAACCAGTTATTCAAAAATATATACTATGATTTTACCACGTGAACTACGATAAAAATAAAATGAGAAAGATATTGTATATAATTTTGTTTTGAGCAGGGGATCCTTGAGACGTGTAATTTATTTTAAGGGTTACAAATCTATGTTTTCTATATACAATGTTACAGTTTTTTGTGTGCATATATATATATATATATATAGATAGATAGATATAGATATATATAACTAGGGTATTTATTCGTAAAAAATTACAAATTGTGGCACAAGGCCGAAAAGGGGAGGGGTAGAGGCTGGTCTTCACTAACTATCTTATACCTAGCTAATCAGATTCACGACCCATTCATCCCTTACAATTAACCCATTCACCACAAGAACTTGTCCATCACCACTCAATCCTTCATGCACCATAATACCAGATTCTCACAAGGGGGACCTACGAAAACGCGCCCCAAACCATAAAAATTGGATGATGAAAAATATTCTATACATAAAAATCTAATAATGATACAATGAGAGGGAGGAGATGAACCCCGAAAATAACTAAAAAATATACACAAAATACAAAATAAACATAACGTGATGTTAGTAGGGACCGTCCAACCCTCAAAAAACAGAGAGGCTGCTGTATTCTGCCCAGAGGACAAAATCAAGAAGCACTCTCGCTAAGGGAGTGGGAAAAAGGATAAAATATTATACGGACATGGGAAAATACAAAAGCTGATCAAATCGAGATGAAAGGGGGACCAAAACAAACTGGGGAGGTTGGGAATCTCGACTTGGATCATAACCA